TGTCAATATATTTTTCAACATGAGATATTTGAAATTATTTTGGGATTTTTTAACGATTTTTATTCATTTTTTCGACCCTCAAAAAATGTTCCTTTAAAATTTCTAAATAATTTTGATATTTCCCAAACCTTGCCACCGCTATGTATGAGTGATGATGCCACTCATACGCCGCAGAGCACTAGTAAAAATTTATTGTTTTTAAATAAAATAGTAACAAAAAGACCTTTTAAAAACTTATTTTAAAATACATAAACCACTTAATGGCCAAAACATGAAATCTACTTCCCGTTTCCTCTTTAATTCCATGAAAATACCCCTTGCCCCCTGCCATATCCCTTTCACTAAAATTTCATTAACATAAGTTATGCGAAGTCCTGTTTTTTTAAGCTTCCTTTCATTTGGCTCTGCTGCACCAACACTGAATTCATTAACCGGTTTCCGGTTTTCGTGGTGGTAATTTATACCTTATGCCGCTCACGTTCGCCTTTCGCTCTCTCTCTTTTCCCCCACACCAGGTAGTGAGACGGCCTTTCAGCACCTTTGAAAAAATAAAATAAAATACGAAAACCTGTTTTCAGTTGCCACAACGGAAATGTTTGCGGTCACAAAATGAAATCGCCATAAAACCCAACAGCAACAACAATAACGGTGAAGTACTCAAAAATTTGTTGTATAAAAATACATTTGCATAAATAATTAATAATGCCCGTGCACAAAAGTGTGGAAAGCAGGAAAAAAACAACTGAAAATCCCCAAACTTTGTCATGAATGTGTTTCATTCGAAAATGGTTTAAACGCAGATTTATCCAAAAGACTTAAAGGGTCATTAGCAGTTCATTTGCTATTGTCAAACTTTTTGTTTATTATTATTTATTTTTTTTTTTTTTTGGTTACTCTTCCAGGATTTGAGGAGAGGGAGGGTGGGGTCTTTTCTATTGCTATTTGAAACAATAATACGCTTATTGGAAAAGTTTTGTCGAAAATTAGCATTAGCGGGGCACAAAAAAAAATAATTAAAAATTTTTGAGGAAAAGGAATTTAGAGAATTAATTTTTCTTAAAAAAATTGAAAAATATTATTTTTTCCAAAAATCTTAGAACATGGATTTTAATTTTTTTTTCATTTTTTTTTTTGTTTAAGAAAATATTTTTTTATAAAAATTTAAAGTACCTAAAACAAATTTTATTGACAAAATTTGGCACTTGTAAAGATGTTTTGTAAAAATATAAATATGATGTGGATCATTAAAAAATATTGTTTCGACAATTTTTAAAAATATTTTTTATTAAATTATTATTTTTTTTTTTTGATAAATAGTTGTTTTTAAATCCATTGGCTTGAAAATATTTTTTTTTAACATTTTTTAATTTGGTTTTCACTTCCTGAAAGAATAAGAAAAGTCAACGTCCATTAAATTTACTCCTGGTCGAAGGGGTTATCTGGCTGCGTTTTTGGAAATTTGTACTAGAATGGTACGAAAAGTATTAAAAGGTACACAATGGTACCATTTGTATTTGAGGAAGCAATAGAGCTTGAACTCTTGCATTTGCATCCAAACCCACAGGCGTGGAACTTTTAAGAATATTTTCTAAAGGACTGCCAGAGCCTCAGCCGTGGATTTTTAAAGAATATTTTATAAAGGACTGCCAGAGCCAAAGGCGTGGATTTTTAAAAAAATATTTTCTAAAGGACTGCCAAACCCACAGGCGTGGAACTTTTAAGAATATTTTCTAAAGGACTGCCAGAGCCTCAGCCGTGGATTTTTAAAGAATATTTTATAAAGGACTGCCAGAGCCAAAGGCGTGGATTTTTAAAGAATATTTTCTAAAGGACTGTCAGAGCCTCAGGCGTGGATTTTTTAAGAATATTTTCTAAAGGACTGCCAGAGCCTCAGGAGTGGATTTTTAAAGAATATTTTCTAAAGGACTGCCAGAGCCTCAGGCGTGGATTTTTAAAGAATATTTTCTAAAGGACTGCCAGAGCCTCAGGCGTGGATTTTTAAAGAATATTTTCTAAAGGACTGCCAGAGCCTTAGGCGTGGATTTTTAAAGAATATTTTCTAAAGGACTGTTAGAGCCACAGGCGTTGATTTTTAAAGAATATTTTCTAAAGGACTAACAGAGCCACAGGCGTGGATTTTTAAAGAATATTTTCTAAAGGACTAACAGAGCCACAGGCGTGGATTTTTAAAGAATATTTTCTAATGGACTAACAGAGCCTCAGGCGAGGATTTTTAAAGAATATTTTCTAAAGGATTGCCAGAGCCACAGGCGTGGATTTTTAAAAAATATTTTCTCAATGACTTTCAGAGACAAAGGCTTGGATTTTTATAGAATATTTTCTAAAGGACTGCCAGAGCCAAAGGCGTGGATTTAAAAAAAAAATTTTTCTTGAGGACTTTCATAGACAAAGGCGTGGATTTTTAAAAAAATATTTTTATGAGGACTTTCAGAGACAAAGGCGTGGATTTTTAAAAAATATTTTCTTAAGGACTTTCAGAGGAAAAGGCGTGGATTTTCAAAAAATATTTTCTTAAGGACTTTCAGAGAAAAAGGCGTGGATTTTTAAAAAACATTTTCTTAAGGACTTTCTGAGCCAAAGTCGTGGATTTTTAAAAAATATGTTCTTGAAATATGCACTGAAGGTCCAGTGCGAAAGGCGTGGATTTTTAAGGAATATTTTCTAAAGGACTGCCAGAGCCACAGGCGTGGATTTTTAAAGAATATTTTCTAAAGGACTGCCAGAACCTCAGGCGTGGATTTTTAAAGAATATTTTCTTGAGGACTTTCAGAGACAAAGGCGTGGATTTTTAAAAAATATTTTCTTGAGGACTTTCAGAGACAAAGGCGTGGATTTTTAAAAAAATATTTTCTTGAGGACTTTCAGAGACAAAGGCGTGGATTTTTAAAAAATATTTTCTTGAGGACTTTCAGAGACAAAGGCGTGGATTTTTAAAAAATATTTTCTTAAGGACTTTCAGAGGAAAAGGCGTGGATTTTCAAAAAATATTTTCTTAAGGACTTTCAGAGAAAAAGGCGTGGATTTTTAAAAAACATTTTCTTAAGGACTTTCTGAGCCAAAGTCGTGGATTTTTAAAAAATATGTTCTTGAAATACGCACTGAAGGTCCAGTGCGAAAGGCGTGGATTTTTAAGGAATATTTTCTAAAGGACTGCCAGAGCCACAGGCGTGGATTTTTAAAGAATATTTTCTAAAGGACTGCCAGAACCTCAGGCGTGGATTTTTAAAGAATATTTTCTTGAGGACTTTCAGAGACAAAGGCGTGGATTTTTAAAAAATATTTTCTTGAGGACTTTCAGAGACAAAGGCGTGGATTTTTAAAAAATATTTTCTTGAGGACTTTCAGAGACAAAGGTGGGATTTTTAAAAAATATTTTCTTGAGGACTTTCAGAGACAAAGGCGTGGATTTTTAAAAAAATATTTTCTTGAGGACTTTCAGAGACAAAGGCGTAGATTTTTAAAAAAATATTTTCTTGAGGACTTTCAGAGACAAAGGCATGGATTTTTAAAAAAATATTTTTTAAAGGACTACCAGAGCCTCAGGCGTTGATTTTTAAAAAAATATTTTCTTAAGGACTTTCAGAGGCAAAGGCATGGATTTTTAAAAAAATATTTTCTTAAGGACTTTCAGAGGAAAAGGCGTGGATTTTTAAAAAAATATTTTCTTGAGGACTTTCAGAGACTAAGGCGGATTTTTAAAAGAATATTTTCTGAAGGACTGTCAGGGCTTCAGGCGTGGATTTTTAAAGAATATTTTCTAAAGGACTACCAGAGCCAAAGGCGTGGATTTTTAAAAAAACATTTTCTTGAGGACTTTTATAGCCCAAGGCGTGGATTTTTAAAAAAATATTTTCTTGAGGACTTCATAGCCCAAGGCGTGGATTTTTAAAAAATATTTTCTTGAGGACTTTCATAGCCCAAGGCGTGGATTTTTAAAAAATATTTTCTTGAGGACTTTCATAGCCCAAGGCGTGGATTTTTAAAAAATATTTTCTTGAGGACTTTCATAGCCCAAGGCGTGGATTTTTAAAAAATATTTTCTTGAGGACTTTCATAGCCCAAGGCGTGGATTTTTAAAAAATATTTTCTTATTGTATGAAAAGTACTAATTCGTACTAAATTTGGTATTGGGTGAAGAGATAGGGCTGAAAGACTCAAATGTGAGATTGAGATGACTGGTATTTTTTTAAGGTTTACGTATATTTTAAAATAATTATTTTCAATAGACCTTGAGGTTTAAATTAAAATAAAAAAATGAATAAGTTTTTTTTTTAACAAAAAATTTCATCTAAAAATTAAATATAGAAAATAATAAAAATAATGGAAATTATTGTAAACTTTATAAAAATATACAAAAATAAATATTTTAAATAATTTCAGGATTTATTTTATAATTTTAATTTTTTATTTAAAAAATAAATACAAGATTATATCAAAAATAAATATAATTCCTACAAAAAAAAAAAAAAAAAAATAAAAAATAAAAATAAAATAAAAAATAAAAATATTTATTTTTAATGAACCGTGTGTCTTAACTTCAAATTTTAAGCACAAAATATTTTTTTTAATTTTCATTTACAAAATATATAAAAATAAAAGGTTATTTCAAAAAATAATAATTTTAATAAACAAATTAAAAATAATAAATATTAAAAAACTAATAATATATTTAAAAATAATTATTTTTAGTGGACTCTGTGACTTAAGTTAAAATAAAAACACAAACAAATTATTTTAAATAACAACATTTTATTAAAAATATTAAATAAAAAATTATTACAAAAAAATTATAAAAATAATAGAATTTTTTTTATAATTATTCTTTAAAATATATAAAAAAAATTTAATATTTTTTCAAAATATTTTTAATATTTTATCAAAATATTTTTCATATTTTTTCAAAATATTTTTAATATTTTTTTAAAATATTTTTAATATTTTTTCAAAATATTTTTAATTTTTTTTCTAAATTAAATTACCTGCAACCTTGAGGATGGCGGCGATACAACCAAACATATTTGCATTGTGGCCTTGAGGAATTCCTCTCTCCTGGCGTTCAGGTCTCGCAATGGCCCCGATCCCGACATCTGCTGCTGCGGCGAATTGCTGTGATGATAGAAATACGATTGATGTTGGCCTGTGGCTGTCGGTATGGCAATGGGCGAGGTAACAGCCTGCTGTTTAAATGGTCCCATACGTTGTTGTTTGTTTAGACTACTCGACGAGGAGGTTCGTTGCGGTGGCGACGATGATGTCACCGTCGTGGAAGGCAAGAAAGGATTAAGGCTACGCACTAGGTTGCAGGAAGATGAAGAAGAAGTAGTTTTTGAGGCATTCGAATGTTGGGAAGATGTCTGACTGCTGCTGGTAATGGCTGGCTGGGTGGTGTTGTGGGGGAAATCCAGTTTGGTGGGTGTGGAGAGGCTAAACAGTTTACGTTTGTGTTTTCCCGGTGTGGAGGTGGTAGCCAAAGAGGAATTGGAGCTATCATAACGATTCGAACCGGATAGGCCACCATATGCCCCGCCTGCATAATCACTGTGGGTGGATTCCTGCGAACCTGTTCTGCTATAGTTCGGTGTGGGCAGCTGGGCCGAGTGACAGCCAATGCGATACTTTACCGAGGTCACATTCGAATCGAGTTCCTCTTCCAGCTCCCTATCCTCCTCCTCCTCTTCATAGGTACTGTGATAGGTGCGGGCTGTAATTTCGGGTAGAAATGGGTTACTGGGCGAGGCCAGGGTATATTGGTAGTAATTCCTCAGCGAACCATTGGAGTCACTTAGATTTTCTTTTTTATTCCTCGATGCCTCCTCCGGTTCCATGGCCAGCGGAAACTGGCCGGTGTCTTCGTTGTGGGCAACACTCTGACTTGTGGACGGGAAGTTACAGAGATTTTCCCATTCCCCCGAAGAGGAGTTAAATGAGGATATGGTAAAGCCCTCATTGGAATGGCCCTGGATGCTACGCGAACTTTCATTGCTGGACTTGAAGAGGAAATTCTGTAGCCTTGTCAGCTTAGCAGCGGTGCTGCTTTCACTGGCCGTGCTACAGCTGCGACTGTCCGCCGTGACACTGGGATGATCTGCACCTCCACCTCCCCCACCACCCTGCTCACTTTTACTGCTGCTTTGTTGCTCCAGACGACGATTGGCACGGTTGCCGGTACCACTGGCCCCAACCTCTGTTTGGCTGGGAGCCGTTAGATTTCGATTCGCCTGATTTGAGTTCGGATTGGAATTTGCTGTGCTCACCTCTCCGCCCATGTTGTTGTTGTTCATGTGCCAGGCCCAGTAGCTGATGCTGGTGGTTGGACTCTCACAGAAATTACTCTCGAGCGAGGTACTGGAATTCGTCGTTGCCACACTACTCAAATGGCGATAGGCAAATTCGGGAGGGGTACTTTCGTCGGGACTATCCAAGAGCAGAGCTGGATTTATGTGGCCACCCAGACCTGGTAGATTTGTCAGCGAGAAAATCGATGCCGAATTCTGGAGCTGTTGATGCAAAGGCCTTAGGCCACCACAACGCTCGGCATCGAGCTTATCCTGTCGCTTGATTTCCAACGACTTGTGTTCAGCCCTGCGAAAGCTACGTCGAAGTTTTTCAGCAAATTTCGATTCTTTGTGGGGTTTATGCGCCTTCCCCTTGTCGCCCTTTGAGGACGGGGGCGTTTTGTCACACCCGTCGTTTTCCAAGAGTTTTTCGTGCATTTGTTTGGTGGTGGCAGGAGGCTGTTCAGAGGAAGGATGTGCGCTTCCTGGCTTTGTGGATTCGTTGTTCGTTAATACCGCTACAGTGGTAACAGCGTTGTCGATATAGTCTCTGGTATAGGCAGCCGTGGGAGGTGTCACAAAACCTCCACCCATTACGCCTGAGACTTGCTGGGGACCGGGTCTGGAATTTAGAAAATTCTCAGCATCATCGGAATCGAAATTATCTGTGGATCTCTGCAGGCGATGGCGTCGTCTGGTGGATCTGGGAGAGGGTGAGTTTGATATGCTTTCCGGTTTACAAGCTAGACTTGGTGATGAGGATGATAAAAATTCCAGTTGCTGCTGTGGGCGGTTTTGTTGAAAATTCGTACCAACTCTTTGCTCTCCAAGAGTTGGCTTCTTGTCCATAATATTTTCTCCCCTTCCGCACAGCAAAACCAGAGAGGATGATGATGAGGATGATTTTTTTTTTCGGTTTTCTGATTTCACTTAGAGTTAAGTTATTTTAATCCTATAAAGAAGCGTTTCGGTTTTCCCCTAAAACGTAGATTGTAGTTTTGAAGTTTTTCGTTTAATTCTCTACTTCCAGTCGTTTTGATTTTTTGGTTTCGTTTTGGTTTCTTTTTTTATTTTTGGAATAAAAACTTTTGACTACTTTCCTTGTTTTGTAGAATATTATTTTTTTTTAAACTAGAATTATCGATAAAAATATGAATTTTGTTTGGGTTACTTAAAACTTAGTTATTTTTAAAGCCAATTAATTTAGTTTAAACATTAATTAAGTTTGGGAGAGTTTTTCGGATGTCTTTGATGAGTTTCTTACAAAAGAAGTTTGCTGGAAAAATAGGAATAATAAAGGAAAGTTAATTAATATTTATTAATAATTAATTTTAAAAAATGCGCCTAAAAATATGCCACAAAATTTGATATTATAAGAAAGCCTAAAAATAGGCAATATTTTTCATGAAAATATGTCATACAATTCATAGATAACAGTAGGCAACACTTTCCCCTTTAAAATATTTCTCAGTAGAAGTGGAGACTTTTTTTAAGTTAAAAAAATGCTCCTCCCCTGGAGATTTTTTTCCGTATAGAAAAAATTCACAGGAGGAGACTTTTTCCCGTATAGAAAAAAATCTCTCCACAGGAGACTTTTTTTCGTATAGAAAAAAATTCTCCACAGGAGCAGACTTTTTTTCGTGTAGAAAAAAAATCTCCACAGGAGGAGACTTTTTTTCGTATAGAAAAAAAATCTCCACAGGAGGAGACTTTTTTTCGTATAGAAAAAAAATCTCCACAGGAGGAGACTTTTTTTCGTGTAGAAAAAAAATCTCCACAGGAGGAGACTTTTTTTCGTATAGAACAAAATTCTCCACAGGAGACTTTTTTTTCGTATAGAAAAAAATTCTCCACAGGAGACTTTTTTTTCGTATAGAAAAAAATTCTCCACAGGAGACTTTTTTTTCGTATAGAAAAAAATTCTCCACAGGAGACTTTTTTTCGTATAGAAAAAAATTCTCCACAGGAGACTTGTTTTCGTATAGAAAAAAATTCTCCACAGGAGACTTGTTTTCGTATAGAAAAAAATTCTCCACAGGAGACTTGTTTTCGTATAGAAAAAAATTCTCCACAGGAGACTTGTTTTCGTATAGAAAAAAATTCTCTCCACAGGAAAATTTTTTTCGTATAGAAAAAAATCTCTCCACAGGAGAATTTTTTTCGTATAGAAAAAAAGAAAATCTCCACAGGAGAATTTTTTTCGTATAGAAATCTCTCCACAGGAGAATTTTTTTCGTATAGAAAAAAAAATCTCTCCACAGGAGAATTTTTTTCGTATAGAAAAAAAAATCTCTCCACAGGAGAATTTTTTTCGTATAGAAAAAAAAAAATCTCTCCACAGGAGAATTTTTTTCGTATAGAAAAAAAATCTCTCCACAGGAGAATTTTTTTCGTATAGAAAAAAAATCTCTCCACAGGAGAATTTTTTCGTATAGAAAAAAAATCTCTCCACAGGAGAATTTTTTCGTATAGAAAAAAAATCTCTCCACAGGAGAATTTTTTCGTATAGAAAAAAATCTCTCCACAGGAGAATTTTTCTCTCTCTCTCCACAGGAGAATTTTTTTCGTATAGAAAAAAATCTCTCCACAGGAGAATTTTTTTCGTACAGAAAAAAATTTCTCCACAGGAGAATTTTTTTCGTATAGAAAAAAATCTCTCCACAGGAGATTTTTTTTCGTATAGAAAAAAATCTCTCCACAGGAGAATTTTTTTCGTACAGAAAAAAATTTCTCCACAGGAGACTTTTTTTCGTATAGAAAAAAATTCTCCACAGGAGACTTTTTTCCGTATAGAAAAAAAAAATTTCCACAGGAGACTTTTTTCCGTATAGAAAAAAATTTCCACAGGAGACTTTTTTTCCGTATAGAAAAAATTCTCATCAGGAACTGAGGAGACTTTTTTCCCGTATAGAAAAAAATCTCCTCAGGAGGAGACATTTTTCCCGTATAGGAAAAATTCTCATCAGGAACTGAGGAGACTTTTTTCCGTATAGGAAAAATTCTCATAAAGAACTGAGTAGACTTTTTTCCGTATAGGAAAAATTCTCATCAGGAACTGAGGAGACTTTTTTCCGTGTAGGAAAAATTCTCATCAGGAACTGAGGAGAATTTTTTCCGTATAGGAAAAATTCTCATCAGGAACTGAGGAGACTTTTTTCCGTATAGGAAAAATTCTCATCAGGAACTGAGGAGACTTTTTTCCGTATAGGAAAAATTCTCATCAGGAACTGAGGAGACTTTTTTCCGTATAGGAAAAATTCTCATCAGGAACTGAGGAGACTTTTTTCCGTATAGGAAAAATTCTCATCAGGAACTGAGGAGACTTTTTTCCGTATAGGAAAAATTCTCATCAGGAACTGAGGAGACTTTTTTCCGTATAGAAAAAATTCTCCTCAGGAAAAGGAGACTTTTTTCCGTATAGAAAAAATTCTCCTCAGGAAAAGGAGACTTTTTTCCGTATAGAAAAAAATAGTCCCCTCTGGAGACTTTTTTCTCGAATAGAAAAAAATCTCCTCAGGAGGAGACTTTTTTCTGTAATTATTGAATGCCTGTATTTCAATTTAATTTATTTTCTTTGAGTTTATCAATTGTTTAAATCATTTCCTTGAATGGGGCCTTAAATATTCGCAAGGTATTCATTGCACAAAATATTGAGTCATGAGGTCCCATATAGGAAGGGTGTAGAATAAAGTTTCCAAAAATTTTGTATGTTTCTTAGAGTTATGAAGCCTAAAAGTAGGCAATGCAAATTAACAATATTTATTGAAGTTTCTACTGCAAGAACCTCTTCGAACTCCCATCCCCCACCGACGTAGACAAAAACGTTTGCCTCGTCCTTTTTTTGTTATTTGCCACACTTTTTAGACACTGCCTAACAATATGCTATGATTTAATGGCTTTTTATTGTTTTTATTATTTTTGTTTTCCGTTAGCCCTATTTATGGCAATAAAACATGAACATCGACATGGCAGCTACTCCTCTCTCTCCCTATCTCTCTTCTCTCCCTCCAGAATAGAATGACCAATGTTAAAATACATCAATGGTAACAATGGGCCCGAACAAATACATTCAAACAATAAACAAATACTATAAAAATAATAACACGATTTTACATACCACCAACAAAGGCAGAAGAAGGAAAACCTCTACAACAACCCAGTAACAACAACAACATCGACTGAAAGGCACACACGTATGGTAATAACGACGTCAGAAAATCGAAAAAAAACGAAAATATTCTAGTCATAAAGAAGTAAGAAAGCGAACATGCAAAAGGTCAACGATTTGTTGTTGCATACTTTTCGGGAGTGTTATATTCTTGGCATACTTTGCAGACAAGGATGGCTGTTTTTGTTATTGTTGTTGTTATTGTGGCTATTTGTTTTACTATGGCTGGCTAGTCAAAGTCTATTGTGTAATAGCGTGGGTAGTTAGAGGGAGATGGAGAGAGTAAGTTGGTGAGGGAGGGAGGTGTGAGTGGCATGGGGCCCGAAATGATTTCATAACTTGTATTTATTTTCAACACCAAGGTTTTGTTTTTTGTATTTTTTTATTGTTCTTTGATTTCCCTTTACACTCCGGAGTCCCGGTTGTTTGCCGCTATTGGAGTTGTTTTTTTTTTGCAATTTTGCCAACAGAACAACGGAACGTGTGTGGAAAGAGAATTACTTAATTAAGGTATAATTCAGATTTTTTTTCTGTACTCCTCCAGGTTTTGTTTTGTTTTCGGAAACTCATTTTCTCTTTTTTGTTGGTATTTTCTTTTGGGGTGGGGGAAATAAAAATATTATTTCTGCCGACTATTAATTATAATTTTCAAAGACCGGAAGGAAACCGAAAACGTTGATGGTTGTTGCAGGAAACAAACATCATTCGAGGAACACAAAAATTATTTGCTTAATAAGGCTGGGCAAATCAATAATCCTGGAAATTGAGGAGACTTTTCTGTGCAAGGGGAGATTTTCTTTGTATGTGCCCGAGAAGAGCATTTTTTCTATACGGAAAAAACCTCCCGAGTAGAATTTTTAGGAAAAAGTCTTCCGAGGAGAATTATTTCTATGTGGAAAAAAGTCCCCCGAGGATATTTTTTTTTGAATACGGGAAATAGTCTCCCGAGGAGATTTTTTTCTATACGGAAAAAGGTCTCCGGATGATATTTTTTTCATACGGAAAAAAGTCTAAAGAGGAGATTTTTTTCTGTGCGGAAAAAAACCTCCCCTTTCCCAGAGGAGATTTTTTTCTGTGCGGAAAAAGTGTCCCCTTTGCCAGAGGAGATTTTTTTCTGTGCGGAAAAATTTTTTTCTATACGGAAAAAAAGTCTCCTTCAGAGGAGATTTTTTTCTATACGGAAAAAAAGTCTCCTCCAGAGGAGATTTTTTTTCTATACGGAAAAAAAAGTCTCCTCCAGAGGAGATTTTTTCTATACGGAAAAAAGTCTCCTCCAGAGGAGATTTTTTCTATACGGAAAAAAGTCTCCTCCAGAGGAGATTTTTTCTATACGGAAAAAAGTCTCCTCCAGAGGAGATTTTTTCTATACGGAAAAAAAGTCTCCTCCAGAGGAGATTTTTTCTATACGGAAAAAAGTCTCCTCCAGAGGAGATTTTTCTTCTATACGGAAAAAAGTCTCCTCCAGAGGAGATTTTTCTTCTATACGGAAAAAAGTCTCCTCCAGAGGAGATTTTTCTTCTATACGGAAAAAAGTCTCCTCCAGAGGAGATTTTTCTTCTATACGGAAAAAAGTCTCCTCCAGAGGAGATTTTTCTTCTATACGGATAAAAAGTCTCCTCCAGAGGAGATTTTTTTCTATACGCGAAAAAAGTCTCCTCCAGAGGAATTTTTTTCTATACGCGAAAAAAGTCTCCCGAGGCGATTTTTTCTATACGACAAAAGTTTTCTCCTGAGGAGATTTTTTTTCTATACGGAAAAAAGTCTCCTCCTGAGGAGATTTTTTTTCTATACGGAAAAAAGTCTCCTCCTGAGGAGATTTTTTTTCTATACGGAAAAAAGTCTCCTCCTGAGGAGATTTTTTTTCTATACGGAAAAAAGTCTCCTCCAGAGGAGATTTTTTTCTAACCGGGAAAAAAGTCTCCTCCAGAGGAGATTTTTTTCTATCCGGGAAAAAAAGTCTCCTCCAGAGGAGATTTTTTTCTAACCGGGAAAAAAGTCTCCTCCAGAAGAGATTTTTTTCTAACCGGGAAAAAAGTCTCCTCCAGAGGAGATTTTTTTCTAACCGGGAAAAAAGTCTCCTCCAGAGGAGATTTTTTTCTAACCGGGAAAAAAGTCTCCTCCAGAGGAGATTTTTTTTCTAACCGGGAAAAAAGTCTCCTCCTGAGGAGATTTTTTTCTATACGGAAAAAAGTCTCCTCCAGAGGAGATTTTTTTTCTATACGGAAAAAAGTCTCCTCCTGAGGAGATTTTTTTTCTATACGAAAAAGAAGTCTCCAGAAGATATCTTTTTTCTTTCTGAAGTAAAAAAGTCTTTCGAGGAGATTTTTTCTATACGGAAAAAAAGTATCTCGAGAAAATTTTTTCTATACGGGAAAAAAGCCACTGAGGAGATTTTTTCTATACGAAAAAAGTTCCCTCAGTTCTTGAGCCAAATTTTTTTTCTTACGAAAAAAGTCTCCTCAGTTTCTGAGCGAGATTTTTTTTACACGAAAAAATTCTCCTCTGTTCCTAAGCAGATTTTTTTTCTATGCGAAAAAAGTTTCCTCAGTTCCTGAGCAAAATTTTTTCTATGCGAATAAAGTCTGAGTGGAACTTTTTTCTATACGGAAAAAAGTCTTCCCTGTGCTAGAGGCGATTTTTTTCCTGTACGGATAGAAGTCTCCCCTGTGTCAGAGGAGAATTTTTTCTTCAGTTCCTATTGATTCTTTTATATCTTTATTTGCTAATTGCCATATTTACATTTTGTCATAATTTAGAATTGCATTATTTGTCCTGTCAAAATTTAAATCTGGTTATATATAAATGTGTGTTTGTATTCTCCTTGGCCACAGATGTTTGCGGGTGTGTGTTTATAATATAGTAATTTAACAGTACAAATAACCGGGCTCATAACTCTATGCTTGTCATGCACCTAGTCTACCGCAACATATTTGTAGAATTTCTCATGGCGCCTTAATGTATGCTATGAAAATTAAAATTTACATTGAAACCTCCTGCAAGATGGTGTTTACTTTCACTGCAAGTGAGACAAATAAAAGTTTACATTCGAGCACACACACACACACAAGGATACTTGTGTGCTTGTGTGTGTGTGTGTGTGTGTGAGGAAAAAGAAGAGATTTTTGATGACTGACATTTGGGACAGCCATTTGAAACGAGTTTTAACTTTGTAACGAATGAGGGCGACAAAAAAGAGTAGAGCATAGACAGATGCAAAACAAAGCAAAAAAAGCCCGGGGCATTCATTAGGGAAATTATGTGGGATTCCATGGAAATTGGTTAACATATGGTTGAGGAATAACGAAAGGATTTCAGTGACACAGAAGAAATTAAAATTTTAAGGTTAGCGTAGGTGAGATAGGGTAATAGCTGGAAGTTTTGATGGAATTTGGGGGGGCTAAAAGTTAAATGTTATATTGATCTGAAATGCATTAATCCAACCCATCCCTATTCTAAGCAGAAATCCAAATTTTCAAAAAAAAAAAATATCCTCCAGTTTTTTTCTTCACCTCTAAATTGAAAAACTTTCCAGCCTTCTGTTGCAAATGAAACCATGTAAATCAAGGCATGAAATGAAGGTCATAAAAAAAACTTTAGTTTAGCAAAATTATACCTCGACATTATCCTTTTGGTGCCCTGAGCTGCCACTTGTTTGTTTGGTGTCTCCGACAAGAGAATGTGAAAAAAAAAACTTAAAATTTTTTTATGGCCCGTCCAAGTCGTCAATTTCTACACACACACACACGTATATTTTAGGGCATATACAAGTGGTTAAACATGGTCTTGCATACTTTAAGGTGTGTAAATAAAAATAAACGCTCAACCTGAAACACAAAATTCAAGCGAGTGAAATTTTTTGTGTATAGCAACGAGGGGCGTCTAAAAATGATGGTAGAAACAAGCAGATCAAAAAAATATATTTTTTTTAAATTCAAATCAAAATTTTTTCAGATGCTAAAATACGATTTTTTATTTCCCCACATTTTCCCGAACTCATCATACCCTCCCCCATATCATTTTGAATTTTGTGTTCTTTTAAACAATGTAATTTTATAACAGCCATCAAGTCTCTTAGTTAAAAACAGAGGGGTCCATCAAAAAAAAAAAAAAAAAAATAAAAAAAAAATACTCTTTTTTACATGCATGTGTTTTTGTGTGTGTCTGTGTTTTGCTTTTCAACTCTGAAAAAGCTGTTTTTTTGTTTCACCTGAAGTATTAAATGAATAAAAAAATGTTAAGCACACGCTCTATCAAAACTGACAACTACATGGAAGCTGTTATAATTGTATTTGATGACCTCAAAAAAAGGTAAATTCACACACACATTCGCACAGGAATACACACACTAACATCCACGAATAAACATCAACTTTTGGGTCACTTAAAATAATTTACTCATCAGACTGTTACAATGGAACGTATGAGTTATATTAATATGGATAGAGGCAGTAGGTTATGGGGGGCGTATGAGTAACAATACCTTCTTTGGACTATAGGAGGCACTTCAGAATTGGAAAATGTGTCCCTTTTTTGCCTCTCGACAAAATATTGTCAGGACAAAATTCTCATCAGGAACTGAGGAGAGTTTTTTCCGTATAGGAAAAAATTCGCATCAGGAACTGAGGAAAGTTTTTTCCGTATAGGAAAAAATTCGCATCAGGAACTGGGGAGAGTTTTTTCTCGTCTAGAAAAAATTCTCATCAGGAACTGAGGAGACTTTTTTCCGTATGGAAAAAATTCTCCACAGGAACTAAGGAGACTTTTTTCCTTTAAAAAAAAATTCTACTTTTTTCTGTATAAAAAATATTCTGCTCAGGAACTGAGGAGATTGTTTTCCGTATAGGAAAAAATTCTCCTCTGGCACAAAAAAAAAAAAAAAAAAAAAAAAATTTAAATAATTTTTTCTAATTTTATAAATTTGTATAGGCTCCGGCAACACAATTTTTATACCCTCCCCCAATCTATGGAGGGTATATTAACTTTTGTATATTAACTTTGAAATAAGTTGATAAAAATTTACTCAATTGTGTATTATGTCTGCAGGACTTTTGGTATTGAAAATGGGTCATGTATGTCCACGTCTTTGTATAGCCCCCATACAACCGTACCCCCCGACATTCTGTATTTTGGTGTTTTCAGCGACATTATTCACCGGAATTGTTTCAAATTTGGTATTTGAAGTTCGTAATGGATACTTCAGCCTGTGACAGAAAATTGTGTATGCGGGTCCACGTCTTCGTATAGCCCCCATATAAAGGTACCTCCCGATATTCGGTATTTTGATGAATTTTGTCACATTTTCCCACGGATTTGACTAAAAATTACTATTTGTAGTTCGTAATGGGTTCTAGCTCCGGTGGCGGAACATGGTATATATAAAGGTCCAAGTTTTGGTATAGCCCCCCAATTACGGTACCTCCCGATATTCGGTATTTTAATGATTTGAGCTACATTATTCACCGATTTTTTTTTTTAAGTTTCGCATCTGAATATTGTAAAGGATTATGACAAAAGTTGCCTATGCTGGACCACGTTATCGTATAGACCCTAATATAACGGCTACATTCTGTATTTTTAAGATTTTAACAGAATTTTTAATTAATTTTATTGTTTTTGAGAATTGCCAAATTCGTTACAAATGTTGGAGGGTATTTAAAGTTCGGCCCGGCAGAAGTTACAGCATTTTTACTTGCTTTTCTAAAATTTGTTAAATTTTTTTAATTTTTTACAATTTTTTACAATTTTTTTTTTAATTTTTTTTTTAAATTTTTGCAAAATTTTATAGACCTTTATATAACGGCAACATTCTGTATTTTTAAGATTTAAAAAGAATTTTTAATGGATTTTATTTATTTATTTATTTTTTTTTACTTGTTTTTCTACAATTTTCTAAAATCTTTTAATTTTTTAATTTTTTTTCATATTTTTTATTTTTTATAATTTGTTTTTCAATTTTTTTAAATTTTTTCAAAATTTTTTTCTATTTTTTTTATTTTTATAGACCTTAATATAACGGCTACATTCTGTATTTTAAAGATGATAACAACATTTTTAACGGATTTTATTTTTTGAAAATTGCCATATTCGTTTAAAATGGTGGAGGATATTCAAAGTTCGGCCAGCCGATCTTACAGCATTTTTATTTGTTTTTCTACAATTTTCTAATTTTTTTCTAAATATTTTTTTTTAATTTTTTCATTTTTTTCTTCATTCATATTCATTCATTTTAATTTTTTGCAATTTTTTTTCAATTTTTTTAATTTTTTTTTAATTTTTTCTAAATGTTTTCTATATATTTTTTTTAAATTTTTTGAATTTTTTTTTATTTCATTTTTTGTTAATTTTTTAAAAATTTTTTAACATTTTTCTAAATTTGTTCTAATTATTTTTTTTTTAATTTTTTGAAATTTTTTTTTTCATTTTTTACATTTTTTTAATTTTTTGTTTTTTAATTTTTTTTCTTTCATTTTTTTACAAAAGTTGCATAGCCATCGAGTCCCTGTGAATTTGTATTTTTCTCTTTTTTTTTCTACTTTTAATTACCTTCTTTAAAACATTTTCTATTGCATACTTTGTGGCGTCTTGAAAACAAACCCCTTTTTTAGCAATGCCCTCAAAGTTTGATCAATAAATTACACGATTGGCAAAGAAGTTTTTCTTTTCGAAAGAAACGAAAACAAAAAAAAAAAAAAACGACTGCAATTACGTCGTAAGGATGCACCTTTCTTTTGGTGGCAATTAAAAGGATTTTTATAATTACCCACCCGCCTGGCAGGAAGTCGACCGAACTATCTAATGTTAGATTTCCAATATGCCAGTGATTTATGGTTCGGCAAAAAGAGGGTGTCTAAACAGAGTTGGAAGAAATGTGTGTGGAATAAATGGATAGGTTTGTTTTCTGGGCCAAGGTGTAGTTTTGCCTTGAGTTTGTTGGCAATTTCACTAAAAGATTGTTTTTAGTTGGCAGAACTGGCAGACAGACATACAGACAGCTGAGCCAAAGACATGCCAATGTTTTAGAGAATTTTGCGCCAAACCAGGGAAACACCTGCTGTCAATTTAAAATTACAAACCACTAAATAAATGTGAAGGGTGTGGGAGGGTGAGGGAGAGAGAGGTAGGTAATGTAAGAAGTTTCTCTTACGTCATGTTGCCTAAAAGTATGCTTTGCCAAGGCCAAGAAAACAAACCACCCCACCCATTTCCACCTCTCTTAACGAAGATACCTCTGGGGGAAGCCCAGCTAAGGAGATTTCATTTTCCAGCTGTTTGAATATGTGTGGGCAAAGAATGTGGCTTATTTTTAGGCAGCTGTGCCAGAGATCTCTAGGTTTTTGTTTTTTTTTGCTCTAGAGCTACTTACCTATGCAAAGTATATTGACTTTTTGATTTGATTTGAAATAAAAAAAAATATTTTGAGATTTTCTTTTTTTTCGTTTTTTGGTTGGCTGACAGGCTGACTGATTGAATGGTGACGTGGTTTGGTGATGGTGGTACTTCGCTTCCGTCTTTTTCTTCGTCGTCTTTTGGAGAACTTTTATGTTTTGTTGGTTGCTTCACATATCACAAGTTTTTGATTACTTAACATTCGTAATGGATTTTTGGGTTGACGTTTGATCAGCAAATAAATGGAAAACTGCACTTTGATTTTCTCTCAAAATTGGAAAATTGCAGAACAGCTAAAGGGAAATTTTTTGTATAAATAAATACCTGGAAAGAGAAGAGAGAAAAAATAACAAAAATTAGGGGACTTGATTTAAATGAATTATTTTTATTTGATTATTTATTCATGGGAAAAAATCTCAGAAATTTTCTCAAGAAAAATTTCCCAAAGAAAATTTGTTTTCATCTTAAATTCGTAGCCAAAAAATAAACACAAATTACATTGTGCCGTATGATTTATATTAATTTGTATCCCATTGAGGGTGACGGGGGGCGTATGATTAATTGCAAATGCAAAGAATACATTTTCTACACCATTAATGTAGTCTGCTTTTGGGCAAATAATAGTCGATTCATTCACCTTTTGATGTTATCTTGTTTTTCAGCAACAGCAACGAGCGCAAAATAATCAATCAACAGCAAACTGCCATTGCCATTGGATGGTGAAGACTAATCAACTTCTTGACAGCGGCTGCTTAGGATGATAATGCCGAGGATGTATTAATGGAAGAAAATAATGAAAGGCAAAATAAGAAAAAATAGAAAAAATATCTTATCCTTATCTTAGTTTCTAAGAAGAATATGTCCCTACGGAAAAAAGTCTACACTGTGCCAGAGGAGAATTTTTTCCTAGACAGAAATAAGTCTCCATTGTGCCAGAGAAGATTTTTCCCATATGGAAAAATCTCCACTAGAGGAGAATTTTTTCATATACGGAAAAAAGTCTCCCCTGTGCCAGGCCAGAATTTTTTCCCATACGGAAAAAACTCTCCCCTGTGCCAGGCCAGAATTTTTTCCTATACGGAAAAAACTCTCCCCTGTGCCAGGCCAGAATTTTTTCCTATACGGAAAAAACTCTCCCCTGTGCCAGGCGAAAATTTTTTCCTATACAGAAAAAAGTCTCCACTGTGCCAGGCGAGAATTTTTTCCTATACGGAAAAAAGTCTCCACTGTGCCAGGCGAGAATTTTTTCTAGACGAAAAAAGTCTCCACTGTGCCAGAGGAGATTTTTTCTAGACGAAAAAAGTCTCCACTGTGCCAGAGGAGATTTTTTCTAGACGAAAAAAGTCTCCACTGTGCCAGAGGAGATTTTTTCTAGACGAAAAAAGTCTCCACTGTGCCAGAGGAGATTTTTTCTAGACGAAAAAAGTCTCCTCTGTGCCAGGCGAGAATTTTTTCCTATACGGAAAAAAGTCTCCCCTGTGCCAGGCGAGAATTTTTTCCTATACGGAAAAAAGTCTCCCCTGTGCCAGGCGAGAATTTTTTCCTATACGGAAAAAGTCTCCACTGTGCCAGAGGAGATTTTTTCCTATACGGAAAAAGTCTCCACTGTGCCAGAGGAGATTTTTTCCTATACGGAAAAAGTCTCCACTGTGCCAGAGGAGATTATTTCCTATACGGAAAAAAGTCTCACCTGTGCCAGGCGAGAATTTTTTCTATACGAAAAAAGTGTCCACTGTGCCATAGTGGATTTTTTCTTATACCAAAAAAGTCTCCACTGTGCCAGAGGAGATTTTTTCTTATACGGAAAAAGTCTCCACTGTGCCAGAGGAGATTTTTTCTTATACGAAAAAAGTCTCCTCAGGGGCCTGAGGACAATTTTTTCCTATACGGAAAAAGTCTCCTCAGGGGCCTGAGGCGAATTTTTTCCTATACGGAAAAAGTCTCCTCAGGGGCCTGAGGCGAATTTTTTCCTATACGGAAAAAGTCTCCTCAGGGGCCTGAGGCGAATTTTTTCCTATACGGAAAAAGTCTACTCAGGGGCCTGAGGCGAATTTTTTCCTATACGGAAAAAAGTCTACTCAGGGGCCTGAGGCGAATTTTTTCCTATACGGAAAAAAGTCTACTCAGGGGCCTGAGGCGAATTTTTTCCTATACGGAAAAAAGTCTACTCAGGGGCCTGAGGCGAATTTTTTCCTATACGGAAAAAAGTCTCCACTGTGCCAGAGGAGATTTTTTCTATACGGAAAAAAGTCTCCACGGAAAAAAGTCTCCCCTGTACGGAAAAAAGTCTCCCCTGTGCCAGAGGCGAAGTTTTTCCTATACGGAAAAAGTCTCCCCTGTGCCAGAGGAGATTTTTTCTATAGGAAAAAAGTCTCCACTGTGTTTCTATACTCAGTTCCTGAGACAATATTTTCTCGACGAAAAAATCTTCTCAGTTTCTGAGAATTATTTTTCTATACGAAAAAATATCTCCTCCTAGAAAACATTTCATGAACTATTGAGTTTCTAAGAATTTTAAAAACTTAATTTTTGGTGTGTGCATATTTTCCTTTGATATTACCCATACGCCCCAAAGGACATTGAATTAATATTAGTTATACGCCACAAGTCTCTGTGTAATAAAATAAAAATGGCTGGTTCCACAATAATTTGTTTTCTTATTCTTGTTTCGTTGTTAACTAAAGGAAAGTAAATAAAAGAATATAAAACCTCCTCTCTGCAATAGCATAAAATATTTATACTAAATGTTATTGCCACCGACTGGTCAGAATTGAACATGATTCGTCTCAATTAGTTGCAAAGAGGTCATGCATATGTAATATCCAACATAAAAAACAAAACGGGGCGAAGAAACGTGCAAATGTGTGTTGTGAAATCCTTTTGAATGGCTTTTTGTAGCAAGGAAAGGAACGTAGAAAGAACTGGGAAAATTATATCAGTTGGTGGAAAGCCATAAGGAAAGAAAAGAAGACGTTGAAGAAGAACTGGGCTCTTATCCAAGCGACAAAAACAAAGAACATTTTCTTTGTAATGAAGCCACAGAAAGATTGCAAAGCAACCAGAAAGGATTCAACTGGGAAAAAGTTATGACCTTTTTACAGGTATCCTTTTGCTTGGACAAAGAAAAATGTGGTGGAATGTTAACCTCCAACTGCCCCAAATTTTCCTGTTTCTTTTCTGGAAGAAATGGTTTGAAATTGTTTGGATGAGTTGAAATGTCTCAAAGAATTTTTAAAGCAAACGAGCAGAGCCTTTTTGGCTATTTTGTGGAGATTGTGGCGTATACTTACTTTTGTATGTCAATGCGTGTTCATACACCTCCGTGAGCCAGTAGTAATCATACGTCATGTGGACAGATGAATTAAAAACAATCATACGCCATGTGATCTGTTGAAATATAATTGATGTTTCTCCCTTTTTATTGGAGGACAATAAAAAAATATGTATTTTTCAGAGACCACAAAAAACGTGGATATTTTAAAATATTTTTTAGAGGCCATCAACTAACGTGGATTTAAAAAAAAATTTCAGAGCCCACCAACAGTCGGAAATTTTTTAAAAATAATTTTTCAGAGATCACCAACAAACTTGCATTTTTTTGAAAAATATTTTCGAGGCCACCAAAAAACGTGGATTTTTTTTTGAAAAATATTTTCAGAAACCGCCAAAAAACGGGGATTTTTCAAAACTTTTTTTAGAGACAATAAAGTAACGTGCTTTTTTCAAAAATAGTTTCAGAGACCACAAAAAAACGTGATTTTTTAAAGACCACAAAAAAGTAGAATTTTTAAAAATATTTTTTAAAGATCACCATCAGACGCAGATTTCGCAAAAATAGTTTCAGAGACCATCGAGAGTCTTGAATTTTTTAAAATTATTTATCCTAGACCAAAAAAAAAAAAAAGAAGTGGATTTTTTAATCAATATTTTTTAGATAATGTGGATTTTTCTTAAATATTTTTCAGAGATTATAAACACACGTTGATATTTTAAAATTATTTTTAGAGACCTTCAACAAATGCGATTTAAAAAAAATATTTTTCAGGGACCACCAACAAACGTGGATTTTTTGAAAAATTTTCTCATGGACCACCAACAAACAGAGGATTTAAAAAATATATATTCAGAGACCATGAATTTTTTAAAAAATATTTGTCAGAGCCTATCAGATAATGTGGATTTTCTAAAAATATTGTTCAAAGACCAGCAACAAAATTGTTTTTTTTTTTAAATTCGCAGAGACTCCCAAGATATGTGATTTTTATACCCTCCACCTTGTAACTCCCCTAAATATTCGCCGTAGACCCCATAAAGGATATTTATAATCAACATGAAATTTTAAGTCGAGTTAACGATTACCGTCTGTCTGTTTAAATTACGATACAGTCCACATTATTTGACGTAGAGTTTCAAAAATTGGCAGAAAATTTTGTATTGTGTTTAGGATGTTTGGTATTGAAAATAAGATACATCGGTACCTCTCGATATTCGGTATTTTTTGAATGAAAGCAAAAATTGTCGGAAATAACATCAAATTTTAGTATAAGTTTAGATTTGTTCGAATTGGTTACCTTTGGCACGAATTATGGCCTTCAAACGGCCAATGAATTTTTTTTTCTATGGAAAAAAGTCTCCTCAGCGGCTGAGTAATTTTTTTTCTATGGAAAAAAGTCTCCTCAGCCGCTGAGGATTTTTTTTCTATGGAAAAAAGTCTCATCAGCCGCTGAGGATTTTTTTCTATGGAAAAAAGTCTCCTCAGCGACCGAGGAAATTTTTTTCTACAGAAAAAAGTCTCCTCAGCCGCTGAGGATTTTTTTTTCTATGGAAAAAAGTCTCCTCAGCGGCTGAGGAATTTTTTTTTGTATGGAAAAAAGTCTCCTCAGCGGCTGAGGATTTTTTTTTCTATGGAAAAAATTTCCTCAGCGACTTAGGAAATTTCTTTCTAGATTTTTTTAGAAATCTAAAAAAATATTGCTTTGAACTCAAGTCAAACCTGCCCTCTAATCAACACACAAAGGCCGCATAATCCGCTCCTAAATGCATCAATGATTCGAGAAACCAAATCAGCTTTGTAGTATTAAGAGCATGAAGTGGAATTTTGAGAGACTAGCTGTGATTTCCATGCGGCCTTTGTTGCGCACGTCACTTCCCCTCTCTTCTGCAGATGGCCTTGAAGTTTTCGAGTTACATCCCCATTTTTGCATTGCATTTTCCACCTGTCTGTATGTCTGACAGGATTTACCATTTTTTTTTTTTGGCTATTTGCCTGCCAAAATGACTGGTTATGTGTTTAATCTGTTCTCCCATTCTTTTCTTTTTGTTCT